TGCTGAGCCTTATGTTTCTGGGTCAGCCAGGCTGCGGAAAGCAGAAGTTAGCAAACTGACTAGGAGAGAACTAAAGTGAGGAACACCAGCTTGGTACAAGGGGCCTTCTTTCCCCATTTCTACCGTCAGTATAACTGGTGGACACCATTTGAGACCCCAGAGAAAAGTCCAGGCTCCTGTCCCGGCATGCATGGCACATGCCCACTCAGCCCAAAGCAACCTCTGCCAGGCACACCCCGAGCTCCTCTACACCCCACTGCCTGGACACCCTCTGCACACTCCTGCCTCTGGGCCTTTGCACAGACTGCTCCTTCTGCCCAGCACACCCTCCTTAGCACCCTCCTGCCTCTGCCTGCACAGCCCAGTGTTTGCGGCCCTGCTTGGACAGCCAGGAGCCAATCCAGACTCTTGCTCAGAGGAACCCACTGGTCCCTGAACCGCTTCAGCATCCCGTGGTGTCTCTGTCTGGCTCTGACTAAATCCTGTCTGGGTCAGAGTGATCTGTGATTAAGTCTGTCTTCCCCAAACCGTGATCTGATTTGAGTCATCTGTGACACCCTCGGCCGCAAAGCCCAGCTCAGCACAGGGTCGGGCCCAGAAGAGGAGCTGGGAAACATCAGGGGGGCCAGATATCCCTGTTCCCCCCCCACCCCACGTCCATTTTCACTTTGTTCAACTGAGGGGTCTTGGTACTCCTGCAACCCTGACGGGGTGGGAAAGGGGAGGAGACAAGCCCAGGGCGGGCCACAGCATCCTCCCCCGAGCACCTGCTGTCTTCTAGGTACCACACTGGGTGCTGAGGCCCAGAGAGGTCGAGCGATCTGCTCATGGCCTACCAGCAAATTGAATATTTGTGTTTGGGGCCCAGGTCTGCCTGATTCCAAAGCCTTTAATAAAAGCTGGAGGCCTGGAGGGCTTGTTGCAGAGAGAGGGCAGGGTCACAAAGGGCCTCCCTGAGCTGGGGCAGCGCTGTGCCTTCTTAGAGAGGCCGGCGCTCAGGACGGCAGGAGCCTCCTGTGGAGGCGGCGTGGCCTAGAACCTGAGTGTGCGCCAGTGTGTGCCTGTGTGTGCGCACACGAGCGTGTGCATGGAGGGGGAGGTCACTGCATTCACTGAGCCGTCCCTGAGCGCCAGCCGGGGCCGGGGGCTGCGGGCGAGGCTCACTGTGCTCAACCAGACTGTCCCCAGGCCCCCGACATTTCGCCTTTGCTGGGGCTGCCCCCAGATCAGGTGACCCTTTCCTGCCGCACTCTCCAAGACTCTGGGAAAACAAGTCTTGGCAGGCAGTCTTGAGTTCAAGTCCTCCTGTAGCCGCGGAGTCACAGAAGGGCCGTGGGCCTGTCGCCCGCCTCAGCGTCCCCCTCCGTGATACGGGGCCGTGCAGATCAAAGGGGCAATGCCGGGCGTGTCTGGCGCGAGGGAGGCTGAGCGCGCGGCTGCTGCTGCAGAGTCATAACCACAGCCCTCGCGTGCTGTCAGACGCGAGGGCCCAGCTGCGCCAGAGTCTGTCACCACACCACCCGCAGGGCCGCCTCCCCAGGCCGTCCCGGCCGCATGGGCCCGCTGAGTCAGACGAAGATCCCCTCCGTGCGGTCAGCCACCACCGCCTCGCCCTCGCGCACCCGGCTCCCCGCCGCGCTGGGCACCGTCGAGTCACATTTTCGCGGAACAGTAAGTCGTCGCGATTCCCAGTTTAGGAAACTGAGGCCCAGGGGGCACGGTTTGCCCAAATTTATACAAAGAGCTGGCTGTAGAAGTTGCGCTAGACCCAGGGTCCCGACGCCCGGCCCAGGACACCCAGAAAAGTCCTGTGGGAGGATCAGGCCGCGGAACTGTCTGCAGAGCGCGCGTCTGAGCGAGCGGCTCGCAGACCGCACGTCCCAGGCCCACGACCTTGGTCTCCTACACGGGAGCCTTGTCGTCTCCACCCAAACCTCAGTCACCTGTGCCCACCCACCTCCCTCAGCCCTCGGTCTCCTTAATGATGAAAACGGGCACCAAGCACTCCCCCGCGTGTCTCCTCCGCCTGGCGCGCGCCCTCCCAGCCCCCGGGGACTGGACCGTGGCAGCAGCCTCCTCGCTGGCCTCTCTGCCTCCTCTTTCTCCCAGACCGCACCTTCCACACAACATACAAGCCTGTCACCGCCTCGCTCAAGACCTTCTGTGGCTCCCCGCTGCCCTCACTGTAAAGTCCAGTCCTCTCAGGCCTGGATCCCATGTGTGCCCCCGTACACGGCATACACACCCCGTACCAGCCCACCTCCCTGAGGTCAGAGATGCGGGGTTCCCGCATGGCCTGCGCTGCACCCACCTGGCTCCGCACAAACCCTGTACTTCGCTGACATTTTGCCTTTGCTCGGGCTGTCCGTCCTGCCCGGAATGCCCTTGCCTCACCCCTTTGCTGTGAGGCCTGCAGGCATCCTCGCTGGGCCCTCCGGCTGGGGCTAGGGGGTTACTGTGTGTGTGCAGCCTTCTCTTCATGCAGGGGCCGCAGGACGGGGACCCTCACCACCAGGCCCAGCGTGTCCTGATGGGCTGTGGGTGGGAGGCAACATCAGAGCAGACGGCCTTCTCCTCCCTCTGTCTTCCTAAAACCAGACCCCTCACACCCCAGGTCTTTGTCCAGACTGCCCTCCTCCCCACCAGTCTGCACTCGCTAAGGACCTCACCATCCTCCAGGGCCCAGTGCAGACACCACGGCCCCCACACCCCCAGGACTAAGGTTCTCTGTCACACACACAGGTCCAGGGTTGCACCCAGGCACAGCCGGGTCTGATGCCCTCGCACTCCCCCAGCAGGGGCACGAGCCATCAGCACAGCAGGGCCTGGACTTCTGGCTCCTTCTTCCTCAGCCCTGCAAGGTTTTATAGGCTGATAGTACAGTTCCCTTCTTCGTACAATGAGGGATGTACACTCAACCTCTGAGACCCAGGATGGAGAACTGGGTCGATGTGGACGCAGAACGCGTCGGGGTGAAGACTGACCTGGGGACAGCCGGCCGCTTGGTAGCAGAGTGTGGTGGGGCTGGGGGCCAGGTGTGGGAAACTCCAGGGTCTCAGTGTGTGTGTGTATCTGCACCTGACTCTTCCGAAATCTCCCTTAGAGGACTGACGTTACCTCATCTACTCCACGAATAACGAGTCATGGGCATCACATGGGTGGCCTGGGAAGGGTGGAAGGTCAGGGTGAGGCCAGGAAGGGTCCTGGACTCTCCCCAGTCTAAGGAGGCCCAGCCAGGCACCGAGTTCAGGGCCTGGGCCTGTGGTCACAGTCTGAGGGGTTCTTCACACCCTCCCCAGCAAATCCTCGCCACTTTCTCAGACCCCTCCCATCCCTCAAGCCGGAGTCAGTCTCACTTCCTCCAGGAAGCTCTCCAGGACTGGCCCAGCCCAAGTCTCAGGACCCTACAGCATGGAGCAGAACTGTCACAGCTTCATTTTCCCCAACCAGACTGCAGCTGCTGGGGCTCTGCTCTCACTCCCTTCCCGTAGCTTAGCCGAGCTGGGAGCTAAGGGGTCTCCTTGCAAGTCTGCTCCACCTTGCTCTCTGCTGCCACCAGCTTGGGAAGGGCCTGGGCCTCAGAAGGGGTTTGAGCAATGTCATCTGCCGGAAAAGCCACTGAAGTGATGATGGGTGGGTGTCCCAGAGGTTGCAGAAGACAGAGATGAGCAGGATCCTAAGTGATGCCAGGGTTAGTGTCCCAGGCCATGGGAGTATTCCAGAGCTGGGAGCAGGACAGAGGCCTGGGCTGGAGCCCTGTCTCTACTGGCACTTGGCTTACAACCCTGGACAGTCACTGCCCCTCTCTGGGCCTCAGTCACCTCCTCCATACTGGGAGAGGGTGAGACCAGAGTCTAGTCCAAGCATCTTCTCAAGATATGCTTGGGGATGGGGGATCAGAGCCATGCGGGACTCTCCATACCCCATATGTAACTGAAAATAAAGAGAAGTCTAAATTGCAAAATATGGAAAAGGGAGTTCAACAAAGTTTTGATCTTCCCATGACTATTTTGATGTTTTTGAAATATCAAGTATTAAAATCTGTCCTTATAAATAAATACATGCTTGGCTGGTGCGCTGTGTGATCTGGCCTGCTTCTCGGGCGATCTCGCCCATGGTGGACGCTCATCCTGAGTCCCCTCCCAGCATGCACTCAGCTCTCCCGGACGCTGTTTAGTGCTCACTGGCTGGCCCCAGCCCCTCTCAGGGAGAACTCAGGTGACCAGGAGTCTTTACACTACGTATGTCTGGTGGCCGTCTACTTCTCCTGCCAGGCTTCTGACCAGGAGCCGCAGAGCCCCAGGAAGTCCACCCACCCTAGGCAGGACCACCCTGGCCTCAGGCTTGATTTGAGCAGCCCGAGGGGGTCACCTGACCATGCTCAGTCTCAGAGCTTGGCTTGCCCAAAGTGGCTTCCGCAGGAGGCTTAAAGGCCAGAATGGGACCCCCAGACAGCAGAAGTGCCTCTCCACCTCCACCCACATGCCCGTTTTCACATTGGCCCTAACAACAGGAACAGGAAGCAGGCTCCCCCCAACACACCCGCTCCCACAGTCTCTTGTCGGCACTCATGTTCTCACAGGGTCCTCGCCCTCATCAGCAGGACCCCTGCTGTGTAACAGAAGGGAGCTTCGCTGGGCAGACTGGGGCACCATTAGCCTCTGCACCCTGAGGACGAACTTGGCACAGACCTGAGGACCTGCCCCCAGTGGGTGCCATGGGGAGAGGGCCTGGGTCGGGGAGGGGAGATTGGCTGGAGGAGGAGCAGGGGGCAGAGCCCTGGAGGCTGAAGCCACAGGCTGTCAGCACTACCAACACAGAGCCTCCAAAGCCCCTCCCCCAAAGCCTGGAGATCTGACCCACCCAGCAAGAGCACTTCCCTGGGGAAGCTCCCACTTTGACGTCTGGCCCAGAGAGCACCCCATCAGACAGACAGACAGACATCCAGCTAGAGCTGAGGGCACAGCAGCCCCTCAAGGCAGGGGGTGAGACTGACTTACTGGCCACGCAGAGCAGAGTGTGGAAGAGCCACATCCTAGCTGGAGCAGAGGCAGCTGTGTGTGAGCCGAGGTGGGAACTACAGAGGTGGGAGGCCAGGAGGCGGGGCCAGAGGCAGATACTCAAGCAAGGACCTACAGGCAGACAGGCTCTTTCAAGTAGGCCGACACTCCTTCTCGCACACAGCCAGGCGTGTGGCTTCCTTAGCAGTTGTGGGCTGCGTCCTAGGAGCTTAGAGACAACCATGGGCCTGCTCCATCACCCGTGCTTTGACCCACACTTTCGTGGACTGGTGAGCCGAGGTTTGGCCCGGGGCCTTAGGTCTGGGTGTCCTTGGCAGATGTTGGAGGTGCAGGTGCAACATTAATCCAGCCTGTTGTTCTGTGTCATCCAGTCCCGTCCTGCCCCAGAACCCACCACCCAGCTCCCAGCCCAGGGTTCTTGGTGGCAGCTGCCTCGGCAGTGACAGGGGTCCTCCTCCCACAGGTAGTGCACCCACAGCCGGAAACTGGGCTCCTGTACTGGCCTGTGCACTCGAGGACCTAGGGTATGAAGGGCCGAGTGGGAAGACCCAATGCACTGAACGAAATCACTGCCTCAATTCAACCTTGGCCAGATTCTCTTTTTTTTTTTAAATAATTTTTTTTTTAGGCTGGTCAAGTGAAGCAGTGGGAATAAAGGAACAAAGGAATCTGTAACTGGTTGTGATCAATTAGCTGTAAACACCACTGCACTTGGATGAACCTGGATTCTCTTTAAAAACAGGCGGACAGCCGGGCGCGGTGGCTCACGGCTATAATCCTAGCACTCTGGGAGGCCAAGGCGGGAGGATCACTCAAGGTCAGGAGTTCAAGACCAGCCTGAGCAGGTGAGACCCCGTCTCTACTAAAAATAGAAAGAAATTAGCTGGACAACTAAAATATAAAAAAATATATAGAAAAAATTAGCCAGGCATGGTGGTGCATGCCTGTAGTCCCAGCTACTCGGGAGGCTGAGGCAGGAGGATTGCTGGAGCCCAGGAGTTTGAGGTTGCTGTGAGCTAGGCTGACACCACGGCACTCTAGCCCGGGTAACACAGTGAGACTCTGTCTCAAAAAAAAAAGAGAGAAAAATAAAAACAGGTGGACAGCGCCCTGATGCTGAAACTGATGTAACAGGGCTCTGAGTTGCCAAAGTAAGAGTAAAATTCCATGTCTTTTAGCATCCCTCTGATCCATCCCAGCATTCCAAAGTATAAGGCACTGACAGTTTGCAGTCATATTTGATGCTGACTTTACGATCTGTCAAATTTGCACTGTGTGACCAAGGAAGTCTCTGATGTACCCCTGCTTCCCAGGTTGTTGGAAGAGTGGAGCAGCGCTGTCCGACAGAACGCTCTGCAGTGACAGAACGGTTCCAGATCTGCATCATCTGCTACAGTAGCCATTAGTCACATGTAGCTATAACTGATGGGCTGAATTTTAAATTTTATTTAATTTTCATTAACTCAAAAAGGCAGGGTATTGCATGTCTCTCAAGTGAAAGTCTGCAGCCCCAGGGAGAGAATTTGACGTGTTAATGTGTTAACTAACATCAAGCAGACAATGATCATGACGATGACTAGATGAAAATCAATTTTATTTTGTTTCTCACATTGAAAGTTTGCTTCGCCAAAGTTCTGTGAAGATCTGATGATGCTTCAAACATTTTTACATTGTCTGCTTTGGTCTGACAAAGTATCTATGACTAGCGCTTACTCAGTTACTTGAGCAGAGACTACAATTCACCATTTCTCATCCTGTACACCACCCAGCAGACGAGTCAAACAGTTGAGAAAAGCAAAGTTCCAGGTCTGAAGATTTTCCTGCCAGATCACAACGAAAACCATCCTTAGTCTGCTTAACCTTGGCATAGGCTCATAGGCTGGCCCAGGGCCCTGCCTGTCTTCCCCCCACTCTAGGGCTCAATGACTCTCCTCCTCCCCCCATTCATTCTGAGTTCAAGGGCACTCGAGAGAGCCATGGTGGGGGGACTCCTCGCCCCAGCACTGGCCCACAGTGGAAGAGAGTAGCCCAAAGTCACACAGCAGATACTTGTCAATACAGGACTAGAGCCTAGGACTGCAGCTCAAGATTTCTGAGAGAAGCAAGACTTCGAATTTGGAGTGTGAACTTCAGGGCACCTCAGGAGGCCAGGCAGGGTGGACGACTGGATGCTGGACAGGAAACAGAGCCATTTTCTGCATCTTCGTAGACTTCTAGAATGCGGACTCATCCTGCATCCACCTAAGATGTATTTATCCAAGCTGGTCAGTGTCTCTAGTCATGAGCACACACAGGGGCCGTTTTAGCCCACCTGACGGTAAGTGCTTTCCCCACAAACCCAAACTTAAGGTCCCAAGGTCAGGGGCCAGGCTGTGTTGTGTAATGCCCCCCCTCACAGCACCTAGCACGAGGCTGGGTGTTCGGCAAATGCACACTTAACCAAGAGAAACGTGAAAGTGGTTTCCTACTCATTGTACTTCAAACAAATGTTCAAGGACCAACTTGAAGGACAGTCTACAACATAAATTGGACTGCACTTCTTAAAAACATTAATGTCATAAAAGAAGGAAAGGCTGAGGAACTGCTCCAGATTAAAAGTAACTGCAGACATAACTAAAGGCAGTGCCTGATCCTGGATTGGACCCTGGACCAGAAAACAATGGCTTCAAAAATCGTTATCGGGACAGTTGGCAAAACTGAAACGTGAAGTACAAATTAGCAACTCTTTCCTGAATCTGAGAACTATACTATCAGACATACGAGAGGGTGTCTTCGTTCCTAGGAAACGCACACTAAACATTTTAGGGCTAGAGGGGCATGATGAAGGCAAATATCTCTCAGATGGTTCATGGTTCAGAGAGGAGGGGAAGAAAAAGGGGAGAAGGAAAAGAGGAGGGAAAGAATGAATGATAAAATAAAATGTGACATAATATTCTTTGTCCTACCCTTGAAACGTCTGTGATTTTTGAAATCATTTCAAAATAAAAGCTTCAGAAAACATTCAGGGATGGAGGAGACGCGCTCAGCATGAGGTGCAAGGGCTGCCTGCTCTGTCTTACGAGTGAGTCAAAAGCACTGAAGTGTGTACTTGTCGTCGGACGGGGGCTGTCGCACGGCCTGCCTAGAGCTCCCAGACGAGGAAAACGGTTCTAATCGCCTCCTCGCCTTCTGAGTCCTAGAAGTTGGGAAGGATGAATCCGGAAGAGTGAGGACAGAGCTGAGAGAGCCAGGACTGCAGGGGTGCAGGGAAGACAGAGAGCAGTGTCACCAGCCCCACGGACCGAGCGCTCAGCGAAGCACCACACTCAGTGCCAAGGCCTTCCAAGGGAGCCCTCGTCAGACCCTCTCAGCCACCCTACATGCTCACCCTGATTTCACAGATGAAGATGCTGGCTCCCAAAGGGGCCACATGGCTAGTAAGTGGCAGACCGGGGACTCAAACAGGTCTGTCTCCTCCAGAACCAGGACTATGAACCACTATAAACTCTCCTGCCTTCAGATCCACGGGTTTGTGAGCTTTTAAAAACAAAGACCTCATTCCGCAAATAAAGACTGGGATCCTTGCACTGCTGGGGGCTGTGGACTGAACTGTACCCCGTCTCCAAATTCATATGTTGAAGCCCTAACCCCCTCTGTGGCTGTACTTGGAGATATGACTTTTAGGAGGTAATTAAGGTTAAATGAGGTCTTAAGGGTGGGGTCCTAATTCAAAAGGATTGGTGGCTCTATAAAGGGCCATGTGCATGCACCAAGGACAGGCCACCTGGACAAGCCAGGAAGAGGGCCCTCACCATGCTGGCAACCTGATCTGAGACTTCTAGCCCCCAGATCTGTGAGAAAATAAATGTCTGTTTAAACCACCCATTCTACGGTACTTTGTTATGGCAGCCAAGAAGACTAATATACCTAGGCTACCTCCTAAAAAATCTCCCCAAATAAAGGACTGAAGTATGTGTGTGTGTGCACGTACGTGCTGGGGACGGCAGGACTGGGAGAGGAGGCAAGGGAGAGGATCCTCTTGTCCTGTCATAACTCAGGGGCTGGGAGAGGGAGGGTCCAGGGGTTTAGCCTCTTGCCTGCCCCCACCTCTTTCCTGTCTAACTTACACCCTAATGCTCCTTGGAAAGTACAGCAAGGGTCCTCGAACACACATTAGCACTGGAAGGAAACCTGGAGATCATCCCAGTGGAGCCCCTCCTTTGACAGGGAAACCGAGGCCCAGAGCGATGCAGGGACGCGCTCAGTCTTTCCGGTTGAATATGTGAGGTAGAATGAGTCCCTTAGGGCCCCAGCCCCAGCTCTAGCCACCACCCTCTTTGACTTTCCCCAAAACACATCCTACCTGAGCTAAAATGCTGCCTGCCTCTCACAGGCCCTGAGGAACCTCTGCCCATGAGGGACACATCACAGGACTAAACACCACCACAACTCTAGGAAGGGACAGGAAGACCGGGTATCCTCTGCTGCCAATGGTGTGGGCCTCTCGTCCTCACTGACCTACACTGGGGTGACGGTGACAAACAGTCCGAGGTAACAAGAAGTCTCAACCACTTAAGAATCTGGTCGTCCTCTGGCATTGTTCAAACAGATAAGAATCCTGAGGCAGGGCACTGACTTTGGGTACATGCTCTAGAGTTTTATTTATAGTGCAGCAAAATTCCATTTCAATGCCTCATAGCTATTTAAAATAGGCTTTTTGAAGCAGCCTTTTCCTGACTGCACCCAGAAACATCAAAGTTCTGTGAAATGTTCACAGACATTCATTGAAAAAAAAGCTACAGTATCTTTTCTTCTAAGGTTTATTTTATAAACATGTTAAGAAAAATTCTAGACGTTTATTGGTCAGATTATGCGCTAACAATCTGCTCTGAAGCAAGGACGCTATTCTCAATATTATCAAAAGCATTCTCTCCTTTTAGTTCTTAAAAGAAAAAAAATGGTTTAACTTCTAATTTACTTCTTGTTATATACGGTTTAAAAGCAAATACTATACCTATGTATCAAATTTATTTGTGCAGCTCACTTATTAATCTGTGAAGCCACGATTTG